GTACCACCGTCACAGCCCGGGCACCGTCAGTCACCATTCTCCCTGTACCTCTGGGCCACTTGTACCCAAGCTCAGTCCTTCCGAGGGTACTTTATTCCTTGGCTACTGTTGATGGATGACCTTCAGTTTCCAGCTGCCTTTCTAAAAGACAACTTCCATCCTCTGTAAGACCTGCCATTGCACATCTTCTTTTCTCTCTCTCTCTCTTTCTCTCTCTCTCTCTTTCTCTGTTGTTTCCAGTGGTGTGTGCCAGCTGCCACTGGCACTCCCATATGCAATTGGGCCAGGATATTTTAATCCTGTACTTCCGCGCCTTTGCAGTAAAGGCCAACAAGCTATTTTCTTCCTGAATTGTTTGCTGTCTGTATGAGGGCACCATATTCCAGCCGCATTCACAAGTTTCGCGACTTTAACAAAAAGTTCTGTCAAAGCCTTAGTATTTCCTACATTGTACTCCGCCTCTCCCTTATGACATCTGTATCTCTTTGCAGCCCGTTTTGTATCGTCCTCACAGCTTACCTTTCCACCTGGCTTTGTACCATTAGCTAACTCAGACACATTACTCTCTGCCTCTTCGTCTCAGTGATGAATGTAGGTTCTGAAATAGCTGAAGCTCCACCATTTATCCTAGAGCCATACAGCACAGAAACAGCCCATGCCCACCATAATCCCAAACTAAACTAGTCCCACACCTGCCTGCTCCTGGCCCATATCCCTCCAAACCTTTCCTATTCATATATCCATCCAAATGCCTTTTAAACATTGTAACCGCACCCACCACTTCATCAGGAAGTTCATTCCACACACGAACCACCCCCTGTGTATAAAATAAAATCGCCCCTCATCTCTTTTTAAAATCCTTTTTATCTCACCTTAAAAATATGCCCCTAGTTTTGCAATACCCCACCTTGGGGAAAAGATCCCTGCTATTCACTTTACCTACACCCCTCATGATTTTATAAACCTCTATAAAGTCACTCCTCAACCTCCTATGCTCCAGTGAAAAACTCCCAGCCTTTCTTTATAATTCAACCCTCCGTTCCCAGCAACATCCTGGTAAATCTCTTCCGAACCCTCTGCAGCTTGGTACTATCCTTCCTATAACAGGGAGACCAGAACTGGACACAGTATTCCAGAAGAGGCCTCACCAACGTCCTGTACAACCTCAATTTAATGTCCTTGTAACAGTTACAGCCTATTAACTTGTTAATGCCTCATTTATCCCTGCCCTTTGTGCCCTCTCCATTAACTGATCCTCTAACCATATAAACGTATTACTCAAATTATCATTTTGTTATAACAATAGAACAAGTGGCAAAACATGATTCTGAATTAATAATGTGCAAACTTAAACTAAACATAATTTTAGAACAGAGGACATAGGAACGGTACAGCACAGGATTGGGCCCTTCGGACCACAATGTTGTGCCGAACATGATGCCAAATGAAACTAATCCCTTCTGCCTGTCCTTGGTTCATATCCCTCCATTCATTGCTTGTCTAAAAGCCTGTTAAATGTCCCTATTGTATCTGCCTCTACGCCCACCCCCGGCAGCACGTTCCACACTGTGTGTAAAAAAACATGCCCCACACCTCTCCTTTGAACTTTCCCCCTCTCACCTTAAGTGCATGCTCCTTAGTTTTAGGCATTTCAACTCTGGGGAAGAAGATTCTGACTGTCAACCCTCTCTATGCATCTCATAATTTTATAGACTTCTATCAGGTCTCCCCTCAGCCTCCCAATCCTCTATCCCTGTAGCCCTGCATTTCCCAGGGTAACCTGCTTAACCTACACATCCCTGGGCACTATGGGTAATTTAGCACGGCCAACCCACCCTAACCTGCACATCCCTGGGCACTATGGGTAATTTAGCATGGCCAACCCACCCTAACCTACACATCCCTGGGCACTATGGGTAATTTAGCACGGCCAACCCACCCTAACCTGCACATCCCTGGGCACTATGGGTAATTTAGCACGGCCAGTCCACCCTATACCTACACATCTTTGGACTGTGGGAGGAAACCAGAGCACCCAGAGGAAACCCACGCAGACACAGCGAGAATGTGCAAACTCCACACAGACAGTGGCCCGAGGCTGGGATCGAACCCGGGTCCCTGGCGCTGTGAGGCAGCAGCGCTAACCACTGAGCTACCGTGCCGTCCCATGACCCATTCCTTGGTGCTGCTTCTTCTGAATTTTTCTGTTATTAATTATGTTAGTTTACTCTGTTTTTGGTCTATAACTTGTGTTTTTAATGTGAAAGCCGGCACAAAAAGTTTGTTCCATTATGATTGCCATTTGTTCATTCCCTAAGATGACTTTTCTTGCTTCTGTTTCCAATGGATCAACGTTTACTTTAGTTACTCCCTTCCTTTTTATTTGTTTGCTAAAACGCTGTTCTTGTTTTCCTAGTTAGTTTAGTCTAGTTTGTTTCTCATCAATTTTTCTTTTCGGTGGCCCTTTGCTGTTCTAAAACACTCCCAACGCTCAGACTTACTGCTTTTCTTTGTATCACATGGAGCATTTTGCTTTAATCTAACAGTATCATTGACCTCTTCAGGAGGCCACAGATTTATCTTTATCACTGAGCTTTTGCTTTTTCAATAGAACATATCTTTGTTGAACAATTTCGAATGTTTCTTTAAATATTTCCCACTTTATTTACCGCCCTTTCATTAAGTCTATTTACCTGATTCATCTTAACCAATCTCTATACCTCTGTAACTGACATTGGTCAAACTTAGCTTACAATCAGAACCTAGAATCTTATCAAAGTTAATGTGGATGTTATTGTTTTATGATTACTATTTCCTAGTGGATCTTTTCCTACAACATTATAGGAAGTGCTCGCTTGGAATCAGGCACATAGAAAAAATGAGAAAGATTAGCCTGTTAGATCTGTCGAGCCCACTCCTCCCACCACGATTTTGAGTGAAGCATTAAATCCCATGGGAATCAATGTTAAAACTGGAGTTGGGTTCCACCAAGTGATTCTTGCAATACAAGAACGTTAATGCGTTATACCTTTCTCCTATAAGTTGAAATACAGTAATTTAAATGGCTGAATTTAATTGGCAAATTAAATAATGATTAAAATATAATATGTGTTATTTTGTACTTATAAAATTAACTTGCTTCCCTTGCTGTAGTAGACCTGGGGGAGTTAGGGAGCTGATAAGCAACAACATAGTATAAAAAAAACTCTGGGGTCTGCATTGACCAAGCTCCCACTGTGATTTGCATTTCCAGAGGAAAATACCAACCTGTACACGGTGGATATTTCAGCCGATGGGGGCACGTACGCCACAGCTGGTAGTAACAGGAGCATCAAGATATATGATACCAGAACCAACCAGGTAAGTCCCGCTCTCCTTGGCACACTGAGCACCGTGATTGTAGGCTTGGCCGCTGCGCTGAGAGCCACGTCTGTGAGATCTGTGGTGATGGGCGAAGTGACCCCTTTGATCCGATTGTAGCCGTGTGAGAAATACGGTGCAGGAAGGTCGGGAGAATGCGCCGCCCGCCCGCCCCCCACCCCCCACCGTCCCCCTCGATCCCTCCACGCAGTCTTTGACACCTGCCACAAACACTGAGCAGGCAAGGGAAGGGTCTTTGCTTACTGTCCAACCCAACATGCGGCCCCTCCCGTTGTGCAGCACGGCGTTGGTGCTGCATGGACACTATCAACCTGCCTCACCTGCAGGAGGCTGCCAGTGGGACTGGAACCTGTGGAATGTGTGCAGAAGGACTGCTCGGTCACTTCATGTGTCAGCAGCTCGGATCACCGAGGCTGGGCGAGGGGTCCTGTCCAACAGTGTGTCGTTTCCCCTCCATCCCACTGCGCGCAACACCCCCTCACCCTGAGCTCCACTCCCCTGAATTTGTCTGCCTGCCCGCCCCGTCCGTCCCCAGGTGATCAACGTTTTGGAGCCTGCAGATTATGTGACGAGTGGGAAGGAGCTGAAACCAATCGATGGGCACACAAGGCGCATCTTTGCAGTTCGGTTCCATCCCGAGGAGCGACACATTTTCGTATCAGGAGGTTGGGATGATTCCATCAAGGTGGGTTGGACACGGTGGGGGGAGTGTGGGGGGATGCTGTTCGGGGAGGAACAGAGGGTGTGACTGAGATGATAATGATCAGACTGGGAGGGTGAATAGCTGTTAATGGGGATTGTTAGTGACTAACAACAGGGGGTGTGTAATTGCAGGCTATGTGGTAACAAGGCCTGGTGTGTGGGGTGGGGGGCTGGGACATCGGAGAGTTCAGGCCCTAAAATTATTGAACTCGATATTGGGTCCGGAGGGCTGCAGGGTCCCCAGGCAGAAAATGAGGTGTTGTTCTTCCAACTTGCACTGACCTTCGCTGGAACACTGCAGCAAGCCAGAGACAGAGATGTTGGCCAGGGAGCAGGGTGGTGCGTTAACGTGGCAGAGGTTCTACTGGGGCAAGGGGAGGATTGGGTGGGGGCAAGGGGAGGATTGGGTGGAGCCCAGGGGAGGATTGAGAGGGGGCGAGGGAAGGTTTGGGTGGAGGGAGAGGCCGGTTGAAGCCAGGGCAGGTGAAGCCTGTTGAGAATTCCCTGATCTGCACGTTCCCCACCCCCAACTCCACCCCACCCCTATACCCCCTCCACCCCCCCAACAGCAGCAGGGTTCGGCCCAGGGTGACTAATCGAACAAACTGATCTCCCCATCTAGATCTGGGACAAGCGAATGGCCAGCGAAGCTCGGAAAGTGCTCACCGGCCCACACATCTGTGGCCCTGCGATCGACATCAAGGTAAGGCCTTCTTCCCAAACTGTCTGTCCTGCGGTGGGGCACTGTGATGGGGTGGGTGGGGTGGGGAGGTGGGTAAGAAGGGAATGTGGGCCTGGGAGGGCTAAGTGATCAATACCCCCCCAGTGGTTGGTGAGGGGTGAGGGTGGGTGAAGCGGGGGGAGTGGGGAAGGTACATCTAGACCTGGGCTGTTCTGCCAAAGCCTGCATTTATGTGGGTGTGATTCATTGCCTCAGCTAGAGTTTGATCGGGTTAACCTGGGGGTTCCTTTTGGAATTATAGTCCCCGTGTGTGACCAGGGAAATGAAGCGCTCAGTTTTATAGCACGGGACGTTCCTTCGAGGAGTTCAAGCAGTGCTCCCTCGGGATCATCAACCAGGGGAGGTTAGGTGGGTGGGTGCTGCTTCACTCCCTAATGTTAGCTCCCAGTTTTTTCAGCTGTGGCTCTCTTGTCTTTCCACCCGACACGCAAACACAGAGCAGTAAGATCCTGACTGGGTCGTGGGTGGCCAAGCATGCGCTGCAGATCTGGGACTTTCGGAAATCGACCCCAGAGAAGAATATTCCTTTCCGTGAGGATAAGGATCACGGCGAGTTCATCTACGCAGCTCGGTTTTGTGTCAGTGATATCGTTGTCGCTGGAGGGAGCGGGACCAACAGCGTCCAAGCTATCAATTATAAAACGGATACGGTGAGAGGGGGGTGGTGGGGGGAGGAGGGTCACAGAGTTTCAAACTGGGAGGGGGAAGGCTTTCTCAGTGGGGCCATCAGTAACGGGATGGCAGAGGGAGCGCCAATGTCTGGCTGCGCACAATATTGGCCAAAGTTGCAAAATTGCACATCAGGGGGTGTCATTGACGCACTGGGACTCAATGAGAAGGTATGAGTTTTGTCCACATTCGTTGCCTTCAACGTAATGTTACAATTGGGCCAACTTGCCACAATCCTTACAAGTGTTAGGAGAAAAAGACGGGAGGTAAAGATACGCTATTCCCACTTGTTGGGGATTCTGGAGGCACCGCCTGACTGAGGGCTGGAGCGATTGGGGAGAGATGATAGGAAGCACTTCGGCACACAAAGGCTGGGAGAGGTTTGGAAATCTCTTCCACAAATGGCAGTGGATGCTGGATCCGTCTTTAATGGATATATTTTTGTTAAGCAAAGGGACTAAGGGATATGGGCCAGGGGCAGGTCGATGGAGTTAGGCCGCAGATCAATCTTCGTCTTATTGAATGACAGAGCAGGCTCAGGCCCGAACAGCTGCCTCCTGCTCCCATCTTCTAATCCGTTCACAACAACCTTGATCATTGATAACACAGTGTGGAGCTGGATGAGCACAGCAGGCCGGGCAGCATCAGAGGAGCAGGAGAGCTGACGTTTCTTCAGAAGAAGGGTCCCAACCTGAAACGTCAGCTTTCCTGCTCCTCTGATGCTGCCTGGCCTGCTGTATTCCCCCAGTGCCATGCTGTGTTATCTCTGACTCCAGCATCGGCAGTTCTTACTGTCTCTAACCTGGATCATTGTGTTTTTTTTAGCCCTCTGTCGTTGATTGGTGATTGTTAACCTCTGACATGAGCTGAGAGGTGCGATCCAATTGCGTGACTGACCACACGTTGCGAAGGTGGCCAGTGGGGCAAAAGAGGAGGCCGAAAGCCAAACAAAATCAAGGGCAGGGTTAGGAAAGACATAATTCATGTTTACAGACATGGTTTACAGATATGGCCATTACAATAATATTGTAGGGTTTTGACTGCTGGAGAAGTCCACATTTGCAAAATTATTTTGGTTTGTATAATGGGGCAGCACGGTAGCTCAGTGGTTAGCACTGCTGCCTCACGGTGCCATGGACCCATGTTCGATCCCACCCTCGGGCGACTGTCTATGTGGAGTTTGCACGTTCTCCCCGTGTCTGTATGGGTTTCCTCCGGGTGCTCTGGTTTCCTCCCACGGTCCAAAGATGTGCAGGTTAGGGTGGATTGGCCATGCTAAATTGTCCCATAGTGCCCAGGGATGTGCAGGTTAGGGTGGATTGGCTGTGGGAAATTGTCCCACAGTGCCCAGGGATGTGCAGGTTCGGGTGGATTGGCCGTGCTAAATTGTCCCATAGTGCCCAGGGATGTGCAGGTTCGGGTGGATTGGCCATGCCAAATTGTCCCGCAGCGCCCAGGGATGTGCAGGTTAGGGTGGCCATGGGAAATGCAGGGTTACAGGGATCGGTTAACGGTTAAAGGGGTGGGATGCTGTTTGGAGGGTTGATGTGGACTTGATGGGCCAAATGGTCTGCTTCCGCACTGAAGGGATTCTGTGATCTGATCCCTGCGGCTCTTAAAATGTTGGTGCAAAGTGCCCACTGTAAGTACTTCTTCGTAAGCTGTGAGCAGATACACCCATGCAGCGATAGTAAAGGGTGTTAGTGAACAGCAAACCAGTGAGATGCTGTGCACAGGGATCTTTGGCTGCGGGAGGAGGAGTTAGGATTTTCTCCATGTGGGATAACATGGGAGAGGGGCACAGTGTAATCCAAATGATGTCTGCACAGCCTAATGCAGGACCACAATGTGGGGATTTGGGGAGTTACGCAGTGTGGAAAACAGACCCTTTGGCCCAACCTGTCCATGCCAACCATAATCCCCAACCAAACTAGTCCCACCTGCCTGCTCCTGGCCCATATCCCTCCAAACCTTCCACATTCATGTACTTATCCAATTGTGTCTTAAACATTGTAACTGTACGCACATCCACCACTCCCTCGGGAATTTAATTCCACACACAAACCACTCTCTGTTAAAAAAAAAATTGCCCCCATGTTTTTTTTAAATCTTTCTCCTCTCACCTTAAAAAATATGCTCCCTTGACTTGAAATCCTCCACCTTAGGGAAAAGGCACCTGCCAGTCACCTTATCTATACTCTGCATGATGTTATAAGCCTCTGCAAAGCCACCCCTCAGTCTCCTACGTTCCAGGGAAAAAAGTCCCAGCCTATCCTTATAACTCAAACCTTCCACTCCCGGTAACATCCTGGTAAACCTCTTCTGAACCCTCTCCAGCTTAATATCGTCCTTCCTGTAACAGGCCGACCAAAACAGAACACACTATTTCAGAAGGAGTCTCACCAACATCCTGTACATCCTCAACATGATGTTCCAACTCCTGCACCAAAAGGTCTGAGCAATGAAGGCAAGTGTGCTAAACGCCATCTTAACCATGCTGTCAAATGTGACACAAACTTCAAAGAATTATGTACCTGAACCCCTAGGTCTTTCTGTTGTACAACGCCACCCAAGGCCCTACTTTTAATTGTACAAGTCCTGTCCTCGTTTGTTTTACCAGAACGCAATACTGCGCATATTTCCAGATCTGACTCCATCTGGGAGTCTTGCAGCCCCAAGATGAATGGGATAGCAGGCTAAACAGTCTACTCCTGCAACTATCGTGTGTGAGGTTTAAGTTGCCTGCTGTGCACGGTCCCAGGGACTTGTGTTCATCATAGGCAACCAACAAAGAGACAGAATAAAAACTGAAAGATCTGCGGATGCTGTAAATCAGGAGCAGAAAAACAGAAGTTGCTGGAAAAGCTCAGCAGGTCTGGCAGCATCTGCAAAGGGAAAACCAGAGTTAACGTTTCGGGTTAATTGAGTTCTGAGGGAGGGTCACCAAACCCGAAACGTTAACTCTGATTTTTCCTTCGCAGGTGCTGCCAGACCTGCTGAGCTTTTTCAGCAACTTCTGTTTTTGCTAAAGCCACATAATGTCTGCTAGAGATTATTTAAAGAAAGACTGCACTTATGTACTGCCTTCCACACTGATTCAGATGTTTTGAAGTACTTCTTGAAGTGTAGTCACTGTCGTAATGCAGGAAGTGGTTAATTTGCACACAGCAAATTTGCAGCAATGTGATAATGACCAGAAATGATAGACTGGAGCATCTTCTGTATCTGCTGTTGTAGATAACCACAGTTCTCTCTCTCTCTCTCTTTCTGTCCAGGCCCTGGGGGAGATTAAACTTCATGCACATCCTGTGCATGTCATTACCACTATGTTTGATGGCCAAAATGTTGCATTTGGTGGTGGAGGAGGGAACCTGCACATTGCTTACCTCCTTTAGCAGAAAAGGAAACAAACCAGGAGATTATCGGCAGCTTACATATCTCAGTCCCAGAGGCTCAATGTTTCCGTTATCAATAGTTTCATTACAGTCGTACTGAGATGTTTATTTAGACATGTGTTGTGTTTGATTTTGCCATTTTGTTGGAAGAAGGTTTGTTGCCTTTGCACCTGCCCACAACCTCCATATGTGAAGAGTTTGTTCAATAATTAGCAGAGCTGTACAGACCAAAGTCGCTGCTTGTGTAAGTGCTATTTGTTTTGTTTCACTATGATCAGCTATGGACAGTCCTATCCAACCTTGTCAAACTCCATGCAGCTAAGACACGTAGCTGAGCTGTAAACTCATTGAATTTTCTCCCTTCTCACATGTGCTGTCTGGTCTGCCAAGTATATGTGACATTTTTATGTTTCAGATTTCCAGCTTCCACAATACTCTGTTCTTGCATATGTCATTGGGATCAGTGTTTTCTCCATGGACAGTCCCTCTGGATGAGGTGTCCAACACGCTAAACACTGTTGATATGTTCATCTCTCCCATCACGGTGTGACTGGCTCTAAGTTTGAATAGTGAACAACTAATTCAAAACAGTTTAGTAGACTTCCCCTGCCATTGTTGAGTCAGATCATAAATGAACAAATGTGCTTTATAATCCATTATTTGAATTATGGAGGTGATGGCCTAGTGGTATAATTGCTGGATTATTAATCCAGAGACCTGGTAACTTTCTGGGGATCCAGGTTCGAATCCTGCCATGATGGATGAAGGAATTTGAATTCAATAAAAATCTGGAATTAGGAGTCTAACAACAACCATGAAACCATTGCTGATTGCCAGAAAAACCCATCTGGTTCACTAATGTCCTTCAGGGAAGGAAACTGCCATCCTTACCTGGTCTGGCCTACATGTGACTCCAGACCCACAGCTATGTGGTTGATACTAAACTCCTCCCTGGGTAATTAGGGATGGGCAGTAAATGCTGGCCATCCAGTGATATCCACATCCCGTGAATGAATAAATGAAAAAAAATCTCCCCTGGCACTTCTGAATATTATGTACATTGGGATAAACTCATTCAATTATACAGAATTCCATACTTTGTATGAAAGAGCTAACCCCTTTTGCTCACACCCCTGTCCTTTCCCCATATCCTGAAAATTCTTCCTTTCCAAATAATCTGATTTTTCCCTTTTGTAATTTGGAAAGTTTACTCACCAGAACACTGACAAACAATCCCAGTTTCTCCAGATGACTAGTGTCGCTCAATCCTGGTATAATCGTGATGAGTCATTCTCCTCTGCTCACTCTCCAAGCATATGACACCTTTCCCAAAAAGTACGGTGCTCAAAACTGAACAGAATTGTAACCCCTAAAAGCATGTGGGTTTGGAAAGCTTATATTTCTACTTCTGGCTTGAACAAGAAGGGGCAACAAACTGATCTTAGGAGGCAGGTCGCTTCTTCTGTGTCTCACAGTTTAATGTTCAGTTCCATTGTGTAACGCAAGGCACTATATATTTTATCTTATAATTTTGTTGAGTATTGTCGGTTTTTAACAAGTGTTAAGATTGAATAATGAAGATCATAGGTATAAGTAATAATCAAGAACAAAGATTTATTTCACAATTAGCTGAACAGTTTGTGGAATTTAAATCCTCGAAAATTCTACATAATAAAAATCACATTCTGTGAAGCAGCAAACTAACCGAACATTTTTTCAAACAGTTTATGCTCAGACGTGATCAACAATGTCAGGGACCCTTGTCTTCATAGCCTTAGCAGGGCCAATGTCTTGCTTTTTCTCTCTTTCTTCAGACCTCCCTTAATCTACTTATCAATTTTATCTACTCATCTGATTCTGCTTTTAGCTTCTGTTTCTCCTTCCATTGTTGGCGGGACAAGGCTATTGGGTCTTCATTTCCACTGTGCGTACTTAGCTATCTTTCTCTCTTTCTATCTGTTCTTAGCAATTCTGTTGATTTCTGATCTTCGACTCTTGATCTGACCAACTTATTTATCATTGTTGACCAGTAATCACAAATCTAATTGAAACAGCTACTCAATTCATTTTGATTGCAATGATTCTATTGACTTATTTCATTTGAAGGATTCAGTAAATTCTACAGTTAACAGATGGCATCTTGGATAAGTAAAAGGTCGTGTGAAAAATGAGGGCAGGCTAGGATATGGAATGGGAAAGTAAGGTACAGCATGGAAGAGGGAGGCAAGCCCCAAACAGCAGCAGCACCTGCTCCTGATCCTCACACAGGCAACTGAACCTGCATGCCCCTGGCTTCCCTGCAGTTGTACAGCCATTTAATGATCCTGGCATTGCGTTCAATGATGGAGACTCCTTTTGAGATGGCCTTTCCTGACCACTCCCCTGCTGTATTGCTGTGCTGTGAGCTACAGGCGCTAACACTCTGCAATTTGAGAGAGAGGTTGTCCGAGCTAGGCTGTGCCAATTGCTCCATTACGGGGGAATCCAGGTCCTCGGGCTCCAGGCCGCAATAGTTGAAGAACTTCTCGAGTTCAGCCTGGGCTTGGCAGTTTTGGTCAAGCAACTCAGAATCTGATCGGTACACGGGGACCTTGGTCTGCGGGGTCAGCTCTGGACAATCCTCCATGGGGGAAAGCTGCAACTTGGCTGGAGAGAGAGTTGGCCACCTCCGGAAGCGCCTGCAAACACTCGGCCTGACATCTACCCTCCTCACCACTCCTCTGTAAACTTGCACGGAGGCGCCCGCTTCCAGATTGTTGCTGCCTTGCTGATGCTCCAATCCAGTACCCACAGATTGTCCACAGGGGTATGGTCCTTTTTTGGTCGGACTCGGAAGATCGCAGCCTCGGATCAAGGTGCGCAGAACCTCCAGGTTTGGGGCTGTCGTCTCCGCTCTGCAGCTCCCCCCAGCACCAGCAGGTTTCCTGGGGCTACGGTAGACTGGTCTGCCTGGTCTCACTGGCTCCTGCCTGGCTCCCACTAATTTTGAGCTCTTCACGTATTTCACTTTATCGGCCTCCAGCTGCTCAACCGCGCTTAGGGCTGGAGGGCCCCTGCACAGCTGGTTCCGGAAATACTCCGGCCCTCTGTTCAGGATTCTGAGAGGATTGGCTGAGCGGAAAGTGATGGTGTCAGAGTTTTGGTTTAACATTTCCCACTCTTCCTTGACCTCCCCTGATCCACACTTGGCAGCCTGAGAGTAAGTGCCTTACCAATACTGGGATGGAGCCCGTTATCATATGAACTCAATTCTCTGAGCACAACAAATTTCCACTATCCAGGCTGACCATCAAGCTCCTCGCTCACAGTATCTTGTAATCTTTTTAGGAAACTTCTGAAATCAGATGGAGAAACAAAAACACAAAATAAGTGAAGGGTTTTAGTCTTTTATGATGTCATGTGGCACAGCATTTAATGACCATCCCGCGTAAA